TAGAATGTAAAGATGAAGGCAGTCAGAAAGATTTGGAGGATGGGAAGAAGGGAGAGGAGAGTGAGTCAGGGCTGGAGAAGGGAGTGTTGAGAGAAGGCGCTGTCATTACGAAGAGAGTGGATCTAGTGAGTACGGCCTCGTTGACAAGTTTCACTATTATAAACAGTAGTGTTTTCGATGGGAAACTGAACTTTGCGCCTTCTCCTGATGTTGTTTCTAAAGGCCTGTTTGTTGAAATTCCTTCTTTGTTATCTAGTTCTCTCTCTCTGTTGGATATGCAGGCTCTTGCTTCTCCTTTGACCGTTGGCTGTAGTGTTTCCGTCTCAAGTCCTCCTTGTGCACTTTCTTCTGGCGCACTTTTTAATGTTTCTTCCTTTGGGAACCTTTCTTACGTTAATGATTTGGAAAACGACGACTTTGCCCGTTTCCTTTCACGGCCATCTTTTGAACCGGTGGCTTCTTCATTCCGAGACTCTGCCTTACAGTGTTCGCTTGAAATGTTTCCTTCTGAATCCTTTGAATCCTCATGTCCTATGTCTTCTCTGCAGCTGAGGTCCTTTTCCTCATTTTATTCGCAAACACCTCCTGTTAACTCGGCATTATTAGGTGATCTTTTCGCTGAACTCGACTGTGAGGAATCTGTTTTATTTACTGAATGGTTTATCAAAAATCATTTTCCCCCCGAGTGCATCGTTTGGAAGTCACTTTTCACTGACCCACCGTCTTCCACGCATTTTCACCCTTCTGACAACGGAGATGATATTATGACACGTAGTACAGGCTGCAACACAGTCACTCTCGACCCATTAACAGCAGAAGTTGGGATTCAAGTTGGTCATGACTATGTTGTCCAGGAGTCATTCGAACCCCCATATACAGAAGAATACAGGAACAAACATGGTGCGAATGGCTGGAATGATAATAAGCACCTGCAGCTCTATGAAGTTAACAAATCAAAAGATGCGACTTTGGGTAGCCATATGTCAGACAAAAGCGGGTTGCGATCGCCTAAATTATCGACTCTTATCCCTTGCAAGTGGAGACCACTTTTGCCATTAGATATTTCCTCAGTTTATGAACTGGATGAGATTGACGGGAATGACTTGGAGAAGATGAAAAAAATGGAAGAAATCGAACAGGAATTTGGAGGAGCTGTTGAAATTCCGATAAATGCGAGCAGGAATTTTTCCGAAATTCGTTTTACTTCCGAGACAAGGGGACCCCAAACAAGAGCGTCTTACTCAAAGGCAACAAATGCAGCAGAACACGAAGGCGTGAACATACATGCACCATCAGAGACCAGCAGCCAACCAGAAACGGATTATGAGGAACTTTCCGATTATTTGGATGAAACAAGCCTAGGTCGAGAACCACAAATATGGTAAGCATTTATAAAGAACTGGTCACTTTAGTCATAAACATAGAAGTATTTGCATGCCTCAGCAGTGTTGAACGAGTAGGTTTTTGCCCTCAATAACCGTCAGAGAGCAGGAGAGATAAACCATTTGCAAGCACTGTTTATAACTACCTGAAACGACTAGCGGTTGCTAACCTGTTGCAGAAGAGACGTTAGTTCTCCGGAGTTTGCACACTCAGACAGTTCACAAAAATTTCTGTGTTAAGTCACTAGTACCCATAGAGCGCTTCAGCGTACGCACATTGATATTTCATTCATAATTAATCTTCTTTACTGTTTAGGCAATATATAAACTACTACTGTATGCACTTATAAACAAAAGCCAGATAAGGTGTTGTCGGAGAGCGGCGTGTTTATTTCCTGAATGTACTGTTTCTCCATACCTTAATACTTTGTGGACATGTTGCCGAAGGGCGATTTGCTTACCTCGGTATTCAGTACTTCTTCACTGAGTTCGGGTTATAAAATGGACCGATTTAGATGAGAAGTTCGTCATAATTAAGAAGAATGAACATGTGAAGAAGGGATTTTATGTTGACGGATAGCGGATGGAGGGAGAAAGAGTAATGTAGTGGAATGGAAAGGAGGGGACTCTCACGGAGTCGACTTTCAAACATGCAGTGTTGTTTCCCCATGACAACAGATGGACCTTGTAAGTAAATTCCGAGAGAGAGATAGGCAAACCGACGCGGTCGCTGTCAAGAGAAAGTAACACACTGTTTTCTGGGATCTTCGCATTAAAACATAGATACTTCCGTAAAAATAAAAGATCTGCTCCTGCCAACCGTATTAGTCGTTGCGCCATGTCTCCAACTTACTGAAGATAGAAAGTTGGATGTTAATTTGCCTTGCTTCTAAGCTTTTTAAGATGAGTAACATTATGCTCTTTCGTATGAGTGGACTTTTATAGTTTGATCCAAATGTTTGCAGACACAAGCCACCACAAGGAGTTTGACCGAGGCAAAAAGACAAGTGATCACATCTCTTTAAAAAAATCAAGCGTGATTTACAGCTTCCTCTTAACTTTGTCAGACTGGTGGTACTAAGGTGAAAAATTATTCCAAAGACAAGAGAGACTTGAACGAAACAAAAAATGACTGGAATTATTAAAAATTGCAAGCCGACCTAGCATGAGTTAGGGAGTTTGTCAAGTACACCGTACCAAGGTGTAAATTTAAATAAGTTTTGTTTCGTCATACTAGAACTCAAAATTACATTGGTTTTCATTGCCGTGGAAAGCGCATTCCTGAGTCCGATGTGAAATATGCTTGGAAAGTTAGCTGGCAACTTTGCAACATTACGGTTCCACCATGTGAGCAAACTGCTGAATAGGTTTGTTAACTAAAATAACAGGCCCGAATAAACTTACAACGTAAGTAACCTCCAAAGATCATATTTCTTCAGGACGGATGAAAAGTTGGGTAGGCCGCTTCATCGTATCAAATGTATAAATACCTAAATTTCTATTCGCTTATGAGTTTCTTAGTAGTCTACTACTTATGTTTTAAAGAGAGGCTGCGAATTCGCGACACTCACAAGCACTGGAATTATACAAATAGTAACTTCTGTGTCCAGTGATTGCCAACCTCAATGAAGAAGTTATTAATTGTATTGCCCTAGCTGCTCAAAGTAAATCCGTTAGTAGTGTCAGCAATTCATTTTTGTTTAGCCTTCAGGAGTTTGTATGCGATTTCTAATCCTGCTTTATAATTTATGACAGATATCATGCCGCAGTGACCTTATCAGACTATTGTAATCTTGTTCGGTTGTTCGACCGTAGCTAGCGACGTGTTTCATCATGCCTAGAGATGTGGCGCAGGCCTTCCTTTTGTGTGGATTTGTCTTTCTACGTCGCTCATCGTCTCCCGATGGCAGGAGGTGGGTGTGAGCACAATGGCTAACAAAAATAACTAGACTGGTGGAGAGACACTCACCGATCGTGTTACAGAACTCACTCGTCCCGTAGTGCCTTAGGGCTGTCTCTCGAGCCCAACCAGCACCCGCACAGCGGCGCGTACTATAGGCTGAATAACATTACTGACAAAGACAAGGGAGACTGGGGTGGCCATTTCTGGCCGTTCCCCTAACACGGTCGGTGAACGTCCCTCTACCATTTTATATTCCCGCTCGAAACAGACAGGACAACGAGCCCGCGGCTCAGTTGTTAGGAGCATTGGACCTCAAAACAACAGGTCATGAGACCGAGCCCCAGGTGTTCCACACCTCGAAGCTGGGTATGGCTGGCTGACAACGGTTGGTTAGCCAGAAATGGCCATCCCAGTCTCCCTTGTCTTTGTTGGCAATGTTATTCTACCAGTAACCAGATTGCCCGCGCATGTCACGTAGGACCTGCCCACTACTTCAAAATGTAGCAACCTTCCTTCAGATGTGACTCGAGTCTCATTAAATTGAACAAGTTATAAAGGCTATATATGGAAGCCTTTGCAGCCTGGCCCTTAATCTCCAATAGGACCAATTTATCCTGTTGGTTTATAAGATTCCAGGCCACGATTACTAGCTAGTCCTGAAAGATTTCTGGCGCGTTTGGTTGCCTGTGGCGAGGAACTAATCGCTGGATCTTAGCAGGTTCTATCTCACTCCCTCTCTTTCCCCTCACTCGTCGATCAGAGGCTTGTCCCAGACTGTCGGCCTAGTGGAAATGAGGTTAGGTCATTGGCCTACAGGAGCTCCGCAAAGGCTACCTAAGGTAGGGGATCATTTAAGGGTGACCCCAATCCAAAGAAGAATCGAGTTATCTTGTCATTTGGCAGTCTTCCAAGCTAAAACGTTTATCATGCCCTGGTAGGTTCAGGCGTTTCAGCACTAGTTTAGTGAGGAGTGCCTTTATTTGTTAAGACAGAAGTTTCCCCAGATCGGCCTCTTTCTGCTCTTTATCATGAACCAGCTACCTGTCTGAGTCCGACTTGTGACAGGATTTATCGTAGTCTTTGGCCTAACGCCTCAGCCCGTTGACACTGACTGTT